TGATTATATGTGATTATTAAAATCTAAGAAAAATTGAAACAGGGTTTTAGAAACCCCAAGAATCTAAAATTTTCAAATGCCAGACCGCCAATAGATTATAAAGCCACAGGCATGATATCTGTCTTGTTCAGACACACAATGTTCAACCTAAAAGGGAATTTAATTCAAATATTAATGACTAGGAAGGGAGAAAAAAGGTTGAGTTGATGGATATTTTTTTCAAAGATACGTTAAAAGAGCAGTAAAATGCTAAAAGCACAATGCACTGTAAATGAAATGAGAATAGCGTTCAAAAAAACTGAAAACAAAAGTACACATCAAAATCTGAAACAAAGTCCTTGATCTGGACAAAAGAAAATAGGTTAAAATAGATAAATATGACAGTGAATAGAAAGCTGTTATTATGTGGTAATACAGAACATCTGAAAACTGGAAGAATTATTTGGGAAACTGGATCCTAGGTATTTCAAGACAGAAAAACAATAAGTTATTAAGAGTTAATCACATAAGCACAGTAGATTCATTTCAATTTCCAAACTATTTTAAGCTGAATAGTTGGACGGGCAACTTTAATGGAAGTTAACCATTTAGCCTGAAGCATAAAATCAGATCAATAATCAACAATAACCACTTGTGTGGGGGGAGGGAAGAGTGGGGAGGGGAGCAGGGAGTGAAGAATTGGATAAAATTACACAAAAAATAACTACTGCAACCCTCCAAGATTACTGGAAGTAACAAAATGGAGTTGTAAAGGTTTAATGTCAACTTCTAAGTCACTGGATTCTTAAATATACAATTTTTGTGATGGCAATATGACCAAGAACTACCACTCTAAAATGGGGGAATGAATGCTTCCCAAAGGATAGTCTGGTAATTCTGGTCTGGAAGGAAATTAAAATAAATAGCTTTTTCTTTTCAGTAGTTTAGAAGTAACTCTAAACCTTATTGAATCAAGGTTACATCTCCATCTGAAAGACTTTTTATTTAAAGGATAATAAGTCTCTCTCTCTCTCTCTCTCTCTATATATATATATATACACGTCTACATCGATACATATGTAGAAAGCATGTGAAAGCTGGACAATGACTAAGGAAGACCAAAGAAGAATTTATGCATTTTGAATTAGGGTGTTGGGGAAGAATACTGAATACACCATGAACTGCCAGAAGAAAGAACTTGGAAGAAGTACAACCAGAGTGCTACTTGGAAGTGAGGACGGCGAGACTTGATTTCACATATTTTGGACATGTTATCAGGAGGGACCAGTCCCTGGAGGAGGACATCATACTTGGTAAGGTAGAGAGGGTCAGCGAAAAAGAGGAAGACCCTCAACGAGATGGACTGACACAGTGGCTGCAACAATGGGCTCAAACACAGCAACAATTGTGAGGATGGTGCAGGACCGGGCAGTGTTTCATTCTGTTGTACGTAGGGTCACTCTAAGTCAGAACCGACTCAAGGGCACCTAACAACAACAACATAGATATATATAGTGAAATAAATGGAGCCATGACCCAAAATGGCCATCACCAATGTTAACATTTTTACAACTGTCAAATTCAGCCCAAATCTGTCGATGCATAAGGCACACTGGCAGGTAGACTTTCTTGTCCTCCCTCCAAGGATAGGCTGGGTGGCCCTCCTATGAGCTCTCACTTCTCTCCACTATGGCACTTGTCATACGTTAGCATAATTTCCTGTTTGCTTATTTATCTTTCCCACTTGACTGAGTGCTAGAGAATACAAACTGCACCTTATTTATTTTTGAATCCTCAGTACCTAAAACAATATCTAGACTATAATAAAACACTCACAGAATTAATGAATGAATAAATGAATGAATGAAGAAAAATTATAAGTATTCACATCTGTAAAAAAATGATGGAAATATTATGGAAGGAGGTTGAGGTCTTTTTTTTCCCATTAGACACATATTTTCGAAAGGCCTATAAATTAATCATATTCACAAATAAACTGATATGAAAAAGACTGAAACTTAGTCTTTTATCTTCATCCACAATGATAATCAACAATATAATAATGTCTTCACCAATAATGAATAAAACCAAGATCTGCACGCTGATTTTCCAATACATATTTTACAACTTGGTCTTACCCTCTTCAACTAAAGACACTATTGAGAAAACAATTATAACTACCTGTTTAAAACTAATGATGTGTCTATTTAAACATTTTGATAGTGTACTGTATTTGTTATCAAATATATACTATGGTTTAAAAAACCCAGAGCTGCTTGAAAAAAACAAACAAAAAAAACCTTGATCAACATAAAGGTACTATAGTGAAAATTATGCTACAATATTAACAGTCTGAAGCAATAATGTGAATTTCTTTCAATAAGGCTATACTTTAATTTTTTCCAGGGAAATATTTTTAATAGGATTACTGACCCTTTTAACACTTCTAGAAAGAAAATGAATCCCATAAGCATTCTGGTGTATAACTATTATAAAAAATAAATAGAACAGTCAATCCGTGGAAATGGTAATGGACTTGAGAAACTAAGCTTACTAGCAAAATGTACAAAAGTATGCCTGGTGATAACCACTTTAACAGAGAAAAGGTTCCACTACATATCAGCAAAGGAACTGAACACACTGGGACAAATGAAGGGCCAGAAGGAAGGGGGAAGACAGGGACTTTGAAGAAACAGTTTCCATGTCTTTCTCAAATCTTTCTCAAACAGAATTAACCACATCTACCTTGATTAATTCTGCTGGCTATCACTCAACTGAGGCCAATCCCTAGGTCCTGTTTGGTTTTTCAGAAGGTATTTAAATGTTTCAGAGGAAAAAACGACTCTTACTGACTGAAGACACATTTTTGCACTCACAACTCTTTGTGTTTTAAGAGGAATTTTTTCATGCCATTAGTTTATAATATGAACCGGTGCCTAGCGGTATTTTGGACAAAAAAAAAAAACTAGCATGCTTGGAGATGCAGTTTATGTGACTTGCATAATCATTTATTCAGCTCAATTTGGGGCCCAAATCGGAACTCAAAATGAAGTCACCACATCTGCAACAACTGCCTTCTCAGCATACAATGATCATATTAAAAACAACGATCATACAGGAATTTGAAAACAGAATAGAACCTTATCCCAAAAACAAGTACCTTGTAACCTCCTTAGAACTTCTATGTGCTTTTAAGAAGTGCTTGCACTTCTAGGGTACAAAAATGAAGTCAGCCTTACGAATAATTTCAAAAATAATTTGGATCATCAAAACGCCACTGGCATAACAAAATCGCATTGGCTCTGCCAGTTTTAGCCTTGTTTACACCTCCCTTCTAGCCATCCATACTGCCATGTTTGGGTCCAGAAAATAGAAACTAAATCATTAGGCTCAGAGAAAGCAAGCATCTCCCTGAACCTGTGTTTACAGACCAAAAGATGATTTGGCCATTACCAAAATTAACTTGATCAATATATCATATCAAAGTAGATCACTCCTAGTCCTAAAGTTAACTAGGTATTTTCTAAATTCTCCATTTCTGTAAAGTGTTAGGTAAAACCACACCCACAGTTTTTGTTTAAGTGGTTTTTGTGTAAATGTAAAAAAAAAAACCACAGACATCCAGGATATTCCGACTATCTTGCAGAAAAAACAAACAGGTTATAATCACTTTTCCTTATCATTGTTACAACTGACTTTCTGACAGGTTTGTTCAGGACACATGAATCAGGACTTCAAATATACAGAGTCAGGTTTCTTGAGACAATGTCATGATCTCGGATATTATGAAACTCTCTCTTCTCAACCTTGGGTACACATTAGAATCACCAAAGGAGCTTTTACAAAATAGTGATTCCTAAGCTCCAGCCTGAGATGTAGGGTGGACTCTGGTATCAATATGTTCTAAAAGCACCCCAGGTGTGTCTAATGTGCAGGTAGGTAGAGAACCAATGGTCTCACAAATGAGGCTCAATGGTCCAAAGAGGGCCAAGGTTGAGAGCAAGCTAATGGTAATCTGAATCAGAACCTAGAAAAAAGATCATGAAGTCAAATGTCTACAGAAACCACTTGAATGAAACAGGCAGTGTATACACATATTCTTGCATTGTGTGAATGCCAGAGAATGTGACAAACTAGCAAACTCGGTTGAGGGGTTAGGGGGTGAAGCAGCGGCTCTTGAGCTCTAGCTGATTACTGCCACAAGGGAATACTGACCCTGGGATAATAGATCTTCTGACTTAATCAAGAGAAACCAAAAACCAAGATTTTTATGTAAAAGTTTCCAATTTTTAAATGTTGCCTCAATTAAAATAACAACACTGTGTGAGCCAAACGAAACACATAATGAAACACAAAGATCAGATTTGACCTTTAGGCCAAATCATCACCTCTGGCCAAAGGGTTGCTTATATGGTACAGAAACCACAGCCAAACAATAACGATGATGATAAATAACAATAATAATACCTAGTGTTCATTAAATTCTTATTATGTGTTAGCCACTATAGCAAATTTACAAAGATTATCTCAATTAACCCTCATCAACTTTAGGAGGTACCACTATTATCCCCTATTTTATTCAGAGGCACAAGAGGTTAAATAACCTCCCCAAGGTCACAGATACAGTTAGTAGCAACGCCAGGATTCAAAGATGTGCAGGGCAACTCCACAGCCCTAATCACCACGCTATATTTCTTAAAAGTTTTAAATATGCTTTAACAACCTCCACTCTTTGCACTTGGGTTTCTCCAAAAATAAAAAGAAAAGATTAGAATAAATAAATTTTCAGGTCCTTTCTAGTCCTCATAGTCAATGGCTCTCACTCCATAACACAATTCCTGGTTATATAAAGATATTGGTATTTACATATACCAGTCATGAATGCCCTAATGAGAATTGCCTGATCAAAGAATGGAATGAACGTTCACTAAATACTCTAAGGTTCTATCTGAAAAGGCAGCTATAAAAATATAATAAAATTACTTTATCTCTATTGCTATAGAAAGTTTACTCCATTTTACCTTTTGAAAGATGAGTAAAAGTGCTCAGAAATTCTTCATATGTTTGCTCATGACAATTAACAAATTTATCCAAGACTTCTTCAATTAACCGATCTTCATCCATAATCTCCAATCCTGATATTTTGGCAGGCATTCCTATTCACGAGGCCACTTTACCTATGAGACAAAGAAAAACACAGGCTAGAGAGAGTCATGCAGTACCCAATCCTTTGAAAATACTCTGGATGGATGGATGAAAAATTCTAAGGCCCTAAAGGACAGATCAAGATGGAGTTACTAGAGCAACAAATTGCTCTAGTAACTCAAGAAACCAGGGTTTTATTCATATCTTTGCTGCTTAATTATTAACTATCACAGTTTTATTTTTCCTTCAGTTTCCTCACTGCCATCTTTTATTATTATTATTATTGTACTTTAAGTGAAAGTTTACAAATAAAGTTAGTCTCTCATACAAAAATGTATACATACATTGTTATGTGACCCTAGTTGCTCTCCCTATAATGTGACTGCACACTCTTCCTTTCCACCCCAGATTTCCCGTGTGCATTCAACCAGCTCCTGATCCTCTCTGCCTTCTCATCTAGCCTCTGGACAGGAGCTGCCCATTTAGTCTCCTGTATCTACTTGAGCTAAAAAGGACACTCTTCACAAGTATCATTTTATGTCTCATAGTCCAGTCTAATCTTTGTCTGAAGAGTTGGCTTCGGGAATGGTTTTAATTTTGGACTAACAGAGAGCCCGGGGGGTCATGTCTTCCGGGGTCACTCCAGTCTCAATCAAACCATTAAGTCTGTATTTTTTTTACTAGCATTTGAGATCTGTACCCTACTTTTCTCCTGCTCCATCAGGGACTCTCTGTTGTGTTCCCTGTCAGGGCAGTCACTGATGGTAGCCAGGCACCATCTAGTTCTTCTGATCTCAGGTTAATGCAGTCTCTGGTTTATGTGGCCCTTTCTCTCTCTTGGCACTGCTATCTTTTTAATTCACAGGAATATTGTCATATGACTGCACAATTAGAAATTCAGTCTTTCAACAAATGTTAGTCATGATGATAATGATGATACTAGCTCATTCTTAGTATTCTGCCCTTTACCTACAGAAAGATCTGCTATGACTATGACCCTCTGACTTTGAAGACACTGACATCACCTAAAGATAAATCAAGGTAATTCCTCATGCATTACAACTCCAGATAAAACAGACTGTTGGAGATGGCTGAGTGAAAATAAAAAGTTGTAGCTGGATACCAACTTATAATAGAAGGAACTGTTTCAAGTTATTTGTACCTGAAAATTAGAAACAGCTGGGGAAAAACTGAGGCTTTACAACAAAAAGCTGAATAAATTACGCTTGCAGTTGTTAGATAACAAAGAATGATAAATAAATTCAAAGGTAGCGGTTATTTCACTATCAGTAGGAATGTACTTAATTACAAGAAGTCAGTGTCAATCTGCTTTTCCAGAATTGGACTCCAAAAAAATTTCAACAGTACATTTTATCAATCTTTTCCTCAAACCATTGCTAGTAATCTACTTCAGCAAACAAATACCAAACAGAAGCAGCCAGGCTGTGCTTTATATTGCTGCACATGGAAGCTTTAAGCGCAATAACAGAAATTCCTTTAAACTTTCTTTCCAGTTCTCAAACTGATGTACTCTGAGTATTTATCCTCAACACATCTCACTAGTACTACAGGCAAATAAATAAGAGGCTGTGCACAGCGCAATTCAAAATCCTTCAAGGCCTTTAATTTTCTGTATATGGTTATTGTAATGCAAAAGTAAAGATGCTACGTTTTTACTGACTTTTCTAAGACTTTTGCAATATCCAGTTTCACAGACTGTCCTTATTTGAAAAGTTTAGCAAATATACATCTTCAAATTTAGAAGTTTCCTTATCTATTTTTTAAAAAAATAAACAACCTAGTATTAAAAGTCCCTAGAAACTGTCAGAGCAGATAATCATTTACCAGACAGTCAAGTGGTTTATGCAAATCCTAGTGGTTTTCTAGAAGGAAGTAATGCTTTCTTCAGTTACCATTCATGTACTTTTATGTTTTTAGCATGAAGAATTTTTCTAAAGGAAAAAAGAGAAAGACTTACCTGGATAACAGGAGTCTTTGTTTTGATTTTATTTTTATTTTTTATGGCTTAGAGCTCCACAGGGAAGACCCAGAACATACTATGATGATAAGTAAATGTGTACTAAATATCTACCGGTAAATCATAACTAACACTTGCACAATCACAGCTTCTAGGAGGAAACACAAGGAGTACGTACTGCTCTTCCTGGTCTACTAAACTTCATTCGAAGACCACAAGCCTCGTTGGAAACAAGGTTCTCTTCTTACCAAGTCGAGGACAAGGAATGAGAAAATCACATGACCTCCCTAAAGTCCTGTTTTCAGCAATCTAACAGTGAAAACAAAAAACTACGTGAGCTGGTCAGCGCTGTGTGCTCTCTGAGAAGACATTATTCTGAAACATAGTATATGTAATTATCACCACTGATTTCGCACATCTCTGATATTTATCTTCGGATTCCTGCTTAGCTCAACTTACCCAAACAAAATGCAACTTTGACAGGCAGGAGCAGTAAGCCTTAAGACATCTCAAGCTAGTCTTCTCTCAAAGTCTATAAGCTACTTTTTAACAGCCTAACTACACACTGACCCGTTGCAGTCCAGTCGATTCTGAGTCATAGTGACAGGGGGGTTGTATGTCTGCAAAGAATGTTTTTACAAAACTGTGAAGTTTACTACTGCTGCCTGATAAATAATAACACATTTTTAATGAGTCTTGCAGGGGCTATGAAAGCCTACTTTCTCAAATGTTTATACTTCTGCTTAACAAGAATCTACTGCTGTATGGAAAGGTAAGATGGGATATTATCAAAATAATTCACCTTGGCTAAGGAAATGAAACCATCAACCTTAGTTCTTCACAGGGTGGGTTCTCCTTTTATATTTTTGCAAATGGCCAAATCTCCAAAACACCAAATTACAGTGCAATTGCATGGATTTATTTAAATGACAGAAGAGACCTAGTATAAACTGATTTCTTCTTAGATGAATTACAACAATTTTGCATCTTCTAAGATTTCTTGGATCGTTTAGATCACATGAAGAAAAGAGAAAGAAATCCAATGACAGAAATTGCTATAGATTTTTCCAGCTGAGAGAAACCTGAGATTATGTAGTCCAATCAGACAGAATAAAGGAATGAATCTGGGAAAAAAAGTTCACTTGGGGTTTTTGTCAACTAATGACTCTATCGATGAGCATTAATATGTGGTTTTCGTATGATAAATGGCAGTGAGATGCTTATGATTATGAATTTTAAGGCATGCATGAAGCCAGCAGGAAATTAAACACAATGTAGCAATCTCACTCTAGACGGGTGTATTTATGCCTGTATCCCAATAGCATACAAAACACCTTGAGCATAAGCATATGCTGTTGTTTTAGACACCTACCAATACAAACAAGAAAACAAAGGAAGAGATAAAAGGAATGAAGAGGAAGGCAGAAACACAAAACAAAACATATCTATGAAACAGAAAAGGATCTAAATTTCTTTACTGCTTTTTATCAGGATAAGATAAAAAACATACACACGGAGTTCTGGCAAAATGGCGCTCTAGGAAGAAGCACCACTCTGTCCCTCCACAGCAAAGATTCGAAAAACTAAGCCAAACAGAGAATACAACAATCCTGAAACCCTAAAACATCAAATGAAGAGATAAAGAACTCAGCCAAGCACCAAATGGAGTGAGAAAACTGACA